CCGATCGACCCGCCGAATCGGGCAACGGCGACGCGGCGAGGATCGCGGCGAGGATCGCCGCGAGGATCCCCGGGAAAGGTAGGGAACTGCCAGCCGAGCCGTTATCGAGAAACGAGCAATATTTCGAGCGGCGCGCTTTCCTTCGACCGTTTTCGACTGTCGGGCAGCGTGACGCGATAGCCGCGGATTATCATGCATGTGCATGTTGACAAAAGAAGTTTAGCTTGTAAAGCTGATTAAACCTTAGTTAATCACGGCGAAGCAGGAGAGTATCGGCCGAGAGGAGGCGGTGCCGGGGCCGCGCACCGCCTCGGCCGCGTGCGCTCTTGGTGGATGGTTTATCGAGCGGGCGGTCCCGCGCGGCAAACTCTCGTCAAACTCGAGAGCGTCGCCTCACCTCCGGCCTCCTTCTGTTCTCCGACTCTGTTCGACATAGCGATTGAATTCGGTGCTGACGCTCCGCGAATTCCGAGCATTCCGCGCACCCTTTGGCGGCCGGCACAGTGGCGAGTACGGAACACCGAGAGGTGTACATGGAACTGACTCACAGGCATTTAATACCTTTCGTCGAACCCCTCCGTTTCCTCGACGCGATCCCGACCCGTTACGGCCACCTGGGACCCGCGAATCGCGCGATTCCTCCGCGTTCCGCGTTCGTTTTCGTCGAAACCTTCCTCTCGCCTCATGTTCTCTGAATGTCCCGCGCGCATGCAACATCCATCGACGAGGACGGTAACCGCGCGCTTCACCCGACCAACTAATTACACGCATACCTATCCACCGCGTGTACCTGCACATGCCTAAATATACGTGCCTTTACTTGACCGCCGCCTATCGTTTCCGCCTGTTCGCCGCTTCGCGTTCGCGAGCGAGCCATCTTGTTCGCCGCCATTTGGGAAATCTCACGAAACGCGCGCGTTTTCGCGCAGGGCCGATGGAAGAATTTCCTCGACCCGGTGAAAGCGGTTACATACTTTCCGCGGAATCCAATGGTGTACAGCAAATTTTGTAAAAAACTAACAAAATTGCCTACAAAGTATCGTAATCGTTCACCCTAAGCATTTTATCCCCCGGTTTCTACGAGAAATTTCGATTGCCTATCCTGCGTTTAGTTTCGCACGCGATACTCGTTGTCAATTTGCTTTTCAGATTCGTACTCGGGGTGCGCGGCAACTGTACGAGTGGTTACCGGAAGACGATCATCGCCGGATGCCGGACGGTGTAATCGAGCGGCGACGGAAGAGGGAGGGAAGGACGGCGAACGGTTGAAAGTTCGCGACACTGGTAACGTGTCGGCTCCCGTTCGTGCTGTTCTCCTGGCACGTCGGCGGAGCGCCGCAGCGCCACGCGTCACGGCGAACATCATCGCAACGCACGGCGTCTTTGCGCCGGCCATCGCGACGCGGATTCTCTCCGTTCGCTCGCCGCCTTTTTATCGTCGCAACGCGAGATTTCTCTTCGATTTCGACACCGTCGATACCAACGATACCAACGGATGTTAGAAATGTTCGTCCACGCATTCGTCTTTGCTTCGGATCGAGGAAAAGCGGCAGCGCTTTTCACGCGTCCCATGGGAAATGGGAAATGGGAAATGGGAAATGGGAAATGGGAAATGGGTAGTTGAATGTGCGATTAACACGATAGTCCGTCGTAAACTGCTTTTACGGGCGTTTAATGTTCAAAAAGCCTCCAACGTCTCGTTTGGAGTTTCTCTAAGGAATCGATGTGGTTTTCAGAGGCAGAGATTCTGCTAGATCGAGAGGAGTTTCGACATTTCTCCTGTCCGCTGCCGCCTCGGTGGGGTTGTTCCACTTCTGTAACTCGCCAGTCCCGAAGATCGCAAACACGAGAGCCCCGAAACAGTAGGTCGACGCCAAGATCCAAAAGATGATGCTCCATTGCGCGTAAGTTTGATTCTTGTACGTTATCGTGCCGACCATGTAGCTGCTCAGAAATCCACCCAGAGAACTGAGGGTGTTCGCGATGCCGAAAATAGTTCCGGAAAAATTGGGTGCGATGTCCAATCCGTTGCCCAGATAACCGGCTGTCACGGCACCGTTTATCGTCAACGCCATGGTGAAGATCGTCACGGACGCGACCCGATCGCAGCCGCGATAAGCCAGCACGATCATCAACAGACTCGGACTCAGCAACGCTGAAAGGAGCAACGATCGAACAGGTTACATCTCGCGAACGAAAGGACGGATCGGAAGCTTTCTACTCACCGAAACTGGTGAACAGTTTACGAATCGCCGTTACCGACAGCTTTCTTCTTGCGAGCAAGTAATCGGCTACCGTAGACGTGGTCACGGCGAATATGTATTTACCCAGATACGGTAACGAAGAGAGCAATCCGTTCTACGCAGACGTTTCATTTCGGAACGAACCAGAGGGATATAACGGTAACACCGGACGAACCAACTTACCTGTTTAATGTTAAAATTGAGAATGTACTTCATGTAGGTCGGTAACTGGTTAACCACGGTGAAATATCCAAACACGCTACACCCGTGTGTGATTACGATAGCCCAGGCGGGGGCGGAGAGGCAAATGGACTTCCAAGGCACGGGCAGACCCTGAAAATCGTTCCGACGTAGAGGATTATCGTTTCCGACAACCAATGAAGATACGCCGGTATCGTACGATTACGAACGATATTGAAATACGAGTAACTTTTTCGCCTTAAAATGTGCAAGCTGGTCGAATCGAGCGTCGATTTTGAATATTAACTGGGTGTGCGTGCATCGAGGTCGGAATACATTGGAATGTGTAAAATCGTTATCGTATGATTCACTGCTATTCGAACTGGACGACGAACGATCTTTATACTTTCGAAGCGTCGCGCCGTAACGCTTACCCTTGTTACGGCGGTAGTACCGATCGCATCCTCGATGTACCGACGTTCTTCCGCGGAGATTCTCGGATGTTGAGCGGGAGAGTCGAATACCAACCGAAACCAGGCGACGCTCCAGACGAGCCCGATCGCGCCGGTCACGTAAAAGACGGACTCCCATCCGAGCGAAGCGATCAGAAAGCCGCAGATCGGCATGGTTATCGCCGCGCCGAGCGCCGAGGCTGAAACACGATTCGCGTGGTTTTTCAGTTGGCCTCGAACGGTCTTTCTTTTCGAACGGTCTTTCCGAACGGTCACCGTGCGTCGTCTCCCGTACCCATCATGTTCGAGACGAACTTGCTGCGATCCGTCGGTGGGATCCATCGAGCGCTCATCGGTTGTATGGCGGGCCAAGTGACACCCTGTTGGGTTCAAATCCCTCGTTATCCGGCAGCCCTCGCGTTTCGCGAGCCGAGATACGTACCAACAGGAAGCCGAGAATCGTTCTCAGAACGGCAACCGCGATATAACCGCCAGTCGCGGACACCGGAGTCAACAGCGTTAAGGCGCTGGAGGCCAGCATACTGTACCCGAACACTCTCCTGGGGCCCAAAATTTCCGCGAGTCTGCCGCCCGGTAGCTCCGTGCAGATGTAACCCCAAAAGAAACTTCCTAAAACGAGGTTCACCTCGTACTCGTTCCAGGGATATCGCGTCTGTTGTATTTCCTCCTGCGACAGAACCGGACAGCTTCGGTCAATCGACGTTATCCTTGCGATCCTCGCGACTATCGGTATTACCGCGATTACGACTACGACTACGACTACGACTACGACTACGACTACGACTACGACTACGACTACGACTACGACTACGATTACGATTACGGGACGGTCGTACGTTTCTCGGTGAAGGCGCGAACGGGGACGAGTCGTCCGCGTTCGACGTATTCCCGGCGACAGGGAACGAATCGAGCTCGATCGCGGTTCCGCCGTCGACGCAGTTACCGGTCGCGTTCGATTCGATACCGTCGGACGTATGGTTGTCCGGCATCACCATCGATACGATGGCTATCGTCAAATTCACCCGTAACATGTAATTCAACATGAATCCCGAAATCACCATGATGTTCAGCACTTTTCTGCACGACAGCCAATCTGGAAGAACGAAAGCCTAGATGAACAAAGCGTGCCGCGAAAGATGTTTCGCGTTGTTCCCGATCGCGACGCGCACCTGTGTCGTCGCGGCCGCGTGAGCGAAACACGATATTCGCGTAAGACGAGGGCATTTCCTTGCCGATGGTTTCGCGATCGACCAACATTCGAATCGAAACAGCTATAATCGCCGGGGAATCGACGCGCGACGCTCTCGACCGCTTCGTCGTCGACCCGACTCTGACGGTTCTCGACGATGCGATTCGTTCGTAAGTAGTCGCGGGGGAGGATGGCGGAGCTCGCGTTCCGTATCGTTTCGTTTCGTTTCGTTTCGTTTCGTTTCGTTTCGTTTCGCGTGCGGTGCGTATTTATGCTACTCGTTTATCGGTAACTCGACATTTCAGCCTATCGAGTCAACCTATCAACGGGTCCCCCGTGACCTCGATGCGGAATCATTTCGTCCCATCACGTTCGTCGTTCGCGTTCGTCGTTCGCTTTAATCGAGCTTCGAGCTGAATTCGTCGGATCGTCCCTCGTACGTTCGACGGAAGCGAGCGTATTCGAGTCGCAACGATGTTCCTCGAACGAGAGACTTTTCAGCATCCTCGACCGGTAACGGCACGCGGTAACCGACGACCAACGACGACGATCGGACGCGGTAACCTTCGCCGAGAACTTGATGCAAATGTTTCTGGTTACTATTTATACGCGTTGGCGAGGACGTTCTCGTCAGACCGTACCGCGCGACGTGATGGACTATGATCCGTCGGAGTGCCGGCAACGCGGCCGAGAACATATGCTTCTACCGATCGTCGCGAAACGCTTCGTCGGGTGTTCGCGTACGGAAAACGGTGGGACGATGCCAGAGTTTCCGCGATTTCCGGCAATTTCTACACGATCGGCGATCGGCAACGATCCAAGCAGAGAAGAAAGATTCCTTACCTAGCAGATGTCGATCGGATGCCATTCTCGGGTATGTTTGGCGCCAAGGTTCGGCGATCGGTGCCGGAACGACGGTGGTTTCGATTTCGATTCCGGTATGAAAATTCTAAATGGATCGCGGGGCGAAGCGAGGCGAGACGAGACGAGACGAGAAGAGAAGAGAAGAGAAGCGTCTAGTCGTTTCGCTCGAATCGTACTCTCGGTCGGAAAAGCGTCGCGCGGGCGATCGGTCTCGCGGCGGTCGTTGCCAAATGTTTTCGAACCGCAACGTTGGCAGCTGCCGTTCCGGCTACGCGAGTCCCTACACTGGCAATCACAGCCGGCCGATTACAACACCGTCGATCACAACAACCGACTACCGAGGATTTATCGGTACCCACGTACGCGCTTCTCCCGGTGTTCCTATTCCTGTTCTTGCTCGCGACCGCGGACCTGTAGGGGTACCGCGTGTATTCTCTTCTCCCACGATCAACAATAGCTACAGTCGCGAGAGAGCGACTTCCTCGACGGTCTCGATTCGGACGTCGACCGCGCTGCCGTCACTGTCACCGTCACCCTCACCCTCACCGTCAACGTCACCGACGCGTACGCTTCTCTCGTGGCAAGCCAAATCCGCGTTACTCGGCGATCGTCGTCCGATACTCGCCGCGAAGCGAAACCATCGACGAAATCATCACCAACAACCACGACCGACCGCTCCGAAAAGCCTTCGCTTCTCCTCGCCCCTCTCCAGGTTTTACCCAGTAGTAGGGAAGCTGCCCGTTCCGAGCCTGCCGGTGTTCGGTTCGACCTGCGCCCGAAACTGACCCGAAGGCAATAATTCTCCAGTCGCGCCCTTCGAGAGCCGTTATTCCATTGACGAGCGAAGGGAAGACGAATAGAAGCGAGTAGGAAAACGCGGGGCAGTTGCGTTCCTCCGCAACCCGCTGGAAAAGCCGATCCTTTCGGAGACCATTCGGGCATTCGGCTTACGGTCGATACACGACGATTGCTTTTCGTTTCCACGGGACGCTGTTGCGCTTTCGATTCGCATCGTTATCTTAGGATAGAAATTTTAATCGAGTATATGTACATGTCGCATCGCTTTCGATTCACATTTGCTTCGAACGGTGACAAAAGACGCGCGATCGTCGCGAGACGAATCTCAGTCCAAGATGTTCAGCTTGCTGTTGGTTTTCCTGAGCTGCGCTCGCCACGGTATGATGATTTGCGCGTCGTCGTCGTCGTCTTCTTCCGGTTCGGCGAGGTGGCCGCCGCGATTTCCCTCGGTTTTCTTCTCCTCCGATTCCGACTTTTCTTCGGATCGATTCGTCTGCGCGGCGCTCGGGGAAGCGTCTCGTTTCTGGAACGCCGGACCGTCCGCCTTGGCCGCGACAGCTGTAGCTCCCGCAACGGATGCAGCCGATGGGGCGTTGCTCAGTCTGAAACGATCGAGAACTCGTTTACGCGTCCTCGCACCACACCGACACTCTAGACGTACTTTTTCTCCTCGACGTCCTTTTTCGCGAGCAGCTGCCTCTTCCACGCTGGAATCGCCTTTTGTCGTCTCTCCTCGTTTTCTCTGGCGATTTGCTCCTCCAACTCCTTCTTTGCTCTTTCGGCAGCTTTACGAGCCAACATTTGTCGTTTCCATATGGGTATTAGGTTTCCGGAACTGTCTTTCTCCGGAATCTGTCCGAGTGAAACAGAGAAAGCGAGGCTGGAGAGAGAACGCGAACAAACGCGCGCAACAGAGAGAGAGAGAGAGAGAGAGAGATTTCAATCTCGAATACCTGATCCACAAAGTTCGAGACGCTGAACGCCTTGCTGATCTCCGACATGAGATTCTGCTCCTGCGTCTTCTCGACTTGCGCCATTTCGACCTTGAGCTTCTTAATTCCGGGTATGTCCTTGGTTTTCTTCAGTTCCGCGATCAAGTCCGTCTTCTGGACGAAAAACGTCTCTGAAACTGGAAAGGGAGCGCCGTTCGAGAAGGTCCGATTAATCTCCGAGACGTTGGTCGCTACTCACCGTTGGTCATGGAGACGCTGCGAGGCGGCGGCGCGGAGAACGTTTTCGTCGCGTTCATTTTCGCGGTTGTTCTCCGCAACTGGATGCTCGTCAGGTCCTGAATGCTGATGGTCGCGAGAGGTTGCGCGGCCTTGGCGATCGACTGCTCGGTCTCGGCGGCGGTGGCCGACCCCTGGCCGGTTCCGATCTCCTCGCCGTTTCGTCGCAGTCTCTGCAACGGCGAGAGAGGAGGCGGCGGAGGTCCCGAGCTCGCGTTTTCGGTGCTCGGCAATGGCGGCGCCGGTACGGGTGCAGCCGCCGCCGAGCCGAGCTGCTGCTGCTGCTGCTGCTGCGGCTGCGGCCGCGGCCGCGGCGCCTCCTCGTCTTCCTCCTTCTCGGGCTCCTCGTCCTCCTCCTCCTCCTCCTCCTGGTCCTCTTCCTCCTCGTCGGCCACGGTGAACTCTCGCCGGTCCGGGACTCTGCTCTGTATGTCCAAGTTGTCGACCGACCTACGAACGTCGAGATTGCGCGTGAAAGGTGTTCGAACGTGGTCGCTTCCGCGGTCGACGCGACCGCGCGGACACGCTCGCCTCACGGACCTTGCCTTCGAGAGACTGTTCTTCGCGGACGGTTTGCAGATGCTCCTCAGATACTCGGACGGTTTGAGCAGAGTGTTGGAGTCCGCGTTCGCGAACTTGGGCGGTATGAACGGCAGCACCATGTGCCTGTTGACCAGGTGGGACGTTTGACTCGCCTTAATTTCCTCGGTGTCCGCCGGAGGACTGGCAGGCGGTACTTCCGGCTGTTGATGCTCGCCGCAGGATACGTCGGACTTGTTGGTCGCTGTTCCGAAACAGAAGAGCGGTAGGGAGAACGAATCGTTGTACGTCGAGCAAGTGAAATCTAGGTAAGTGTATTATATGCCCGATGAGCGCCATGGTCTAGTAAGCCATGATGCCCGTCTTTGCGATCCACCGACGCGATCGCGACGGTTTAATTGCAGAGATACGCGACCGCCAGGCTGCTCGGGGTCGATCCATCGATCGATCGGAAATCGGAGGAGCCGGGAGAAGATGCTTACCCGAGGTGGCCGAGCTGCCGCCGGAGCTGTTCGAAGCGGGCAAAGTAGCCGAAGTCGGCGCGCACGGAGCTGCCGCTACTCCGCTGTCGATGATTTTTCCATCCCTGTTCGTCTCCCCGGAAAGCTCCTTCTTCCCGTCACGGCCGATCGCCTGATCCGTCGAGGTCGGCTTCGAGTTGACCAGAACCACCACGACGTCTTCTCTGTCCGGCGGCGGAGGCGGCGGCGGCGGAGGAGGTGGTTTCGCGAGACTGCGAAGGAACCGCAACCGGAGATGAACGAGAAAGTACCGTAAGCTCGACTATTCCCGATATCCGTACGCGTCGGTCCGTTACGAGTTACGAGTTACGAGGTACGAACGAGAGACGATCGCTCGCGAGACCGGCGCGTATTCTCATCGATGGATAGATTCGATAGGCGGCTGCACCCTCCTCGGAAACGGACCGGATGGGATATCGCGATCGAACGGCGTTAGACCGGTTTTGACAAATTTGTCTTTTTTCCGGTTTATCTCTCGTTCCACTTACCTAGCTCCGGCGGTAGCCGGTTTAACTTCCTTTTCGCTTTCTACTTGCAGTCCGGCGAGCTCTTTTCTCTCTGAAAATAGTTGGGATCGTTTCGTTAACGTTTCACCTTTATCGCCGGCTGGATGTATCGCGATCGAGCGATGCGAGACGAGGCTAGGCGAAGCGAGAGCCGAAAAAGAGGGCGAAGCGACAGGTTCTCTCCGATCCAATTACGTACCTTGGAAAATTTCGGGATTGACTTTCGCGTGTTTGCCGATCCGTTCGTTGCTGCTGTTCCGCGAGAGCGAAGGAGTCGACGCGCTCGACGAGAAGCAGGGTACCTCGCTGCTCACGTTCGAGGACTCGCTCGCGCTACTCGATCGACTGTATCTTCGATCGGTTTTGCGGGAACGACTGAAATTGTTCGACACTGGAACGCTAGGATCTCGAAAGCGCGCGTCGACGGAGAGCATACCTGTCTTCGGAGGCGTTCTCCGGCAATCTTTTCCGAGCAACCGCGCCGACAGCTTCCGACTCTTGCCTCGAACCGATTTGCTCGTACGCGTGTTCGGACGTGTCCCGAACGATTTCGGATTTCACCGCGTAACAGTTTCCACTGGCCGGTCGATCGCCGTTGTTGATGTGCACGTCCACTTTTACTGCAATCCAATCACAGAGAACAGGCTGTCTCGAATACGTTCGTGTCCTCGCGTAGCGTCGCGTCGCGTCGCGCGGCTCCGACCGCGGAAGAGAGAGAGAGAGAGAGAGAGAACGGGGAATGAAAAGTATGTAGGGCGGCGCGCTACTTACCAGTCAAAGTTTCGTCCTTCTTCTCGAAGTGTCGATGCTTGTCCGTTTCGGAGAAGAGTCGCGTGATCCTGGTGTAGACGAGGTCGTGAGGGCTGTGCAGGTAGAACGATTCGGCCGTGTCCTTCGGCTTGGGGGGGTCGCCGATGTACGCGCTCAT